AAAGAGTGTATGTATTTGAAAAGCACATACTTGTGACTAAGTAGCAGTTAAATTATTGATTTGTTCAGATACTTTTTCTGTAGCACCTTTTATGTATAGCCCATCCTTGCTGCCAGTCCCTGGGGATGCAGCTAGGATAAAATCATGCATGTAGAAGGGCTGCCTTTTTCTCTCTGAAATGTTGCCTTTTTTGGTTAGGGTTGAAAATCTGTGAGAAAGCCCAGGGGTTGAACTTGCTCTGTTTCTTCTTCAGCTGATGTTACTTCACAAGTTTTAAGGCCAGATGGGACCATTCTTATCTGACTTTCTGTATAACACAGGTCAGGTAATGTCACATAGTTACTCCTCTATTGAGTCCTATAGTGTATCTGAGTAAAGAACTATTTTGAAATGGGGACTCTGCTGCTGGGTACTAGTACTCACCTCCCAGACTCTACATGTCCAGATGTATCCATTTTTCCATAGCATCACATAAGAGGACTTAACATAAGCACTTAAGAGCACGTTAATTTGTATTTCATTGTTCCATCTTCAGCACAGGTGAAGAGGTAGGATAAAATCATTTTGCCTGCTTGTGTGTATTCTTCATTACTTAACTTTTTGGGCCAGTTTTTCTCACTTTTGTTAAAGCTACTGTTCCCATATTTCCATGCCTATAGCCCCAGGGTTTGTTTTTTTTATTTAAAAATGTGTATTTTCTTGTTATGCAGCAAGCTCATTTGTACACAAGTGATAAAAAGGGAGTTAGGCACTAGAGCACAGTCTTTCTGGTAGTCCCCAACCCTTGATTTTATAGCTCAGTTCTCCTTCAGGCTCACCCTACCCCTAATCTGCCACAGCCAGTTCTTCTACTTCAGCAGCCATTTCTTTCCCCAGCACCACCTCCTTCCCTCTCATTTTGTGCTGCTGTGAATGTTGGAATGAACCTAAGGTTTATTTTCAAGCATCTACCCTGCTGGGAGAACTGTGCATGGCAGGACAGAGCACTTGCAGTTGCATGGACAAGAAGTGGCTCTATATCAATATGGGAATACTGATATATAATTTTTCCTTAGGATAAATAGTTCAGCCATCTCTGGATTAGCAATTTTTCCTGCATGGCAGTACTGGTGTGTCTGGGGCAGTACTGGGGCAGACCCAAGAGTTCCAGCTCACAGGGCTGAACATGAAGTTGACACCCATGAGGGGCTGAGCTGGTAGAGAGTTTTACACACAATTCTGTAGAGAAGGAGATGCTGGGAAAGTGTCAGGGAGTTGGTTATCAGGGCCCCCCTGGTGAGGACAGTTAACCACCTGGAGAGCTGGGCATATGTAGCAAGAGTGCTTGGTTATTGCAAGATCTCTTCTTCCTTCTACCCCAATTTCCTGACTTGAAGGCATGATGAGGAAAGGCATCTTCTTTGGAGCTTTTACTGAAGAACAGTTGTCCATTTGCCTTTGGAAAATTGGTATTCACCAATTTTCATACCACCGTAGAAGTTTGAAATGAATTTTTTATAAGGTTTGTAAGAGTTTGCCTTGCCACATACCTTGCTGGTTGTTTTCTTCTGTTTCTTCAGTAAACTATTTGCTTAAGATGAGGATAATTTGGGTCTGGAAAGAAAATCTGTACTGGAATTAGTTAAGAAGGAAGGTTTTGAGTGGGAACAGATTGTAGGGTGTCATTGATACTGAAGCTAGTTTAATCTCCCTCACAACCATTTTAGGAGTATTAAAATACATATTTTAATTCTTCCTGATAACATTTCCAACAGCACAGTTTACTTGCTTTTAAGTGTGTCACACCTGCTCATGTTACACCAGTGGGAGAAACAAGCACCTAAACCCATTGCTAATCATTCTGAGAACATGGGAGTAGATTCCTTGTGCTGCAGCTGAAGATAGTAATCCACACATTTCTCATCTCTCAGTGCTTGTCAAGGGAAAAATTGCAAAGATCTAATGAGTTGTTAAATACTGAAATGCTAAGAAAGACTACTGTTACTATTTTAATAATGATTTTTACTTTGCAGTAGTGCCTCAAAAGGACTAGCTCTTTTCTTCTGAAAGAAACTTGGAATAGCTCTAGAAACTCTGGCTGAAGTTCTTCCCATCATTCTCTGCAAACAAACCTGACAGTCTATGAAAAGTCCAGTTTGACTGGACTTCGTTTATAGTTATATTTAATATTATGTTTACTAGATTGATTATGAATTTCTATATAATATTTGGAATGTATAAAGTGTCCTCTGTGGATGATGTTAATCCCCAATGTGAGGGTTGTTGAGAGAGGCTGACTGCAGGCACCTAAGATTTTGTCACACAGTGACTGCCTCTCCAGTAGCAGTATAAGAATCTTGCAAGGATGAATCTTTTAAGTGCCTAAATTAGGTGCTTAAAGTTAGGTAGTATGAAATTTCATAAGTAAAATAGTCACTTTTCAGACATAGGTTATCTTAAATGAATCTAATCTGATTGTTAAATCTGCTGACAGTAAAGTTGTGTAGCAGCTCCGTGTATCAAGGAGCCTCAGCTGAGTTTCCTTGAATGTTTTGTAGAATGAGTAAATATACTTAACTTTGGAAAAAAATAAGTTGTAGAGGGTTCAAAGAGTGCCATAGGTTTTAAATGAAAATAAATATCTAAGGAGCAACCTTACCATGTTGTTGCAAACAATGTTGTTTGGATGTTGCAGGATTTTTCGTACGTGCACAAAGTTCCATCATTTCAACCTTTCGTGGGCTCCTCCATGTTTGCTCCACTGAAGATACTGCCAAGCCAGTGCCTCCTACCTCTGAAGATACCAGATGCCTGCATTTTCAGGCCTTCTTGGGCTGTTCCTCCTAAAATTGAACAACTTCCTTTGCCGCCTGCAGCCACTTTCATTAGAGATGGTTACAAGTAAGTTACAGTCTTGTAGAAAATCAGTTTGTCATGGCTATACCTAAGATGGCTTATGAATTAAAATGTTTTCATGTATTAACACTGCTTTTACCACACACCAGAACCATACAGTAAGCTGCAAATGTATTTTTAAACCTTTTAAGTTTGCTGTTGTCTGAGATTAAAAAAAAGTTCTCATAGTAGGAACATTTGCATTAATAATAGGTTTTAGAAATGGGTGGTTTTACACTGTGGCCACTACACTGCTAATGCTTTTAAAAGAACATGAACATGTGACACTAGAATTAATTGCAATTACTGACACAGGAAAATATTGTAATTCAACATGACCCAGAAGTGTTAAGGAAGAAGATTGGTGCAGTTAACCTCTCCTGTCTCTCTGCTTTCAATGCAGTGTGCAGTTCTCTAGCCTGCAGGTAGGCTCCCCTCCTGTTGGTGCTCCTGTGTTCACCTTGGGCTTCAGTCTGATTATATTGTCCTGAAACACCATTTTGCCTATTGAGGGCTCTTCAGATGCTGTGTAGGCCTGTGGCAGCTCTCTGCTCCCCCTCCTCATGTTAGCTCCTCTGAGTCCTTGTGATTTAACCTGAATGGGTCACATCTGGAGCTGCTGATGAACAGATAACATGCTATCCTCCCCTTTCTAAACACGACAAGATGCCAAGTACGACAGTGCTGTGACCTATGTACAAACACTGGTATTGGATTGAAAACCTCGTGTCCTTTAATCAGTTCTCAGAAATCAGCAATTCTTATGGAAGAAATTAATTACTGGAGATTTTGAATGCTACTAAGAAGTTCACCATTCAGTTAATAAAACACCTTTAAACACATAATAATAATACAAAGGTCTCCTGCTGCAATGCATTCGTGTCTCTAGGAAGTATCCTGTATCTTTAAATCAGTCTGTAAATCCTTTAAATCAGTCATCTTCCAGCTCCAAAGGATCCTTCAGTATTCTCAAAAGAATTGCAAAAAAGAAATTGTAAGCCCTTGATAGTGCCTAGGGAGCAATTTAATTCTCAGTTTTTTCATAAGAGTAACTGATTCACCAGGCCTGAGCTGGTTATTAATTTCACGTATTTGTTGGGTGGGGGGAAAACCTTTCATTTTCAGTATAATCCAATTAGAGTGAAGATGATTACTGCAGGCCTCCAACAGAGTGGTGATTGCCAATCAAGGTTTCTAGGTCACCTTTTCATATCAGTCCAGGCATTCTGTGTGCTTTAGATTCACAGCTCCTTCAAACCTTCTTTCATTATTTTTTTCCTCTCTTGCTTTGAGTTGGACATATATCGGTTCAAGGTAATAAAATTGTCCTAAGGAATAAGGTCTTCACTCTTTTCCTTTGCAAGTCACTGATGATACGTGAGCATTAAGCTTGTGCCTGTTGAAATAACACACAAAATACATAGTAAGAACAGACAACAATGACAAAAAACTGTTTCCCCTCCTTTATCAAGAGCCTCATTGAGTTCTTACACTTTTGCCTTGTCCTAAAATGTAATGAACCAATTCCAAGTAAGGGGAGAAGCTTCTTAGCAGCTTGGAAAGAGAAAAGTTAAGATCTCTTACCCTTTTGACTGGCCCCATGTTACTTGTTTCTTGATACAATGAGTCATTGCAGAGACAAGATAGATCTCACGGAAATGTACGAACTGTTCTTAGGTCACTTGAATTTGGAAAAAAAATGACAAAAACAGAGTAATAAAAAGCAGTCATTACAGAATATGACCCAAAAAGACAATTCTTAGCTTTACGTGACTCAGAGTTTGTAATGAAATGTGTCATATCGTGCTCTTGAGTGTGTAATCCTAAATGGGCATTTGCATTTAAAGTATCTGCAGTTCTGCTGTCAGTTATATCCCACCGTGAGGGGATCCAAGTGCCACATCCATGACTTCTGACAGTAATTAAAATTATGGTTTCTGAGATAAAGTAAGATTTCTATGCCTCTGATATACTTTTTTCATTTCCACTAATGTACATCTCTTTGCAGATAATTGTGTTTAGAACATCAACTACAGTTCTGTTTCTTTTCCCTAAAATCTTGATAATTTCTCTAGATAATTTTTCTCAGGAGCATTTGAGTTTCAGGCCATGAGAATAATCTTTAAGAGGGCTAAATGCCTGAGATAATAGCTTTTTTTTTTTTTATTAAACTGATAAGAAACAATGGTGTTCATGATGAGAATTATGATTTTAGTTGAGAGACCTAAGTTATGAGCAGAAGGTGTGTTCCTCCTTTACTCTAATTGTGCTGAATCCTGCCAGTTTTCATCATCTCCTTGTAACTAAAAATAGGTTCTGACAAAATCAGGTCTTCACAACCAACCAGTTGGTTGATGATGGCATGTGACTGGTTTTCATTTCTTTCTTGTAGCAATGTGCCTAGCGTGGGGAGTTTGGCCGACCAGGACTATCTTCAGATGAACACTCCCCAGATGAACACGCCGGTGACACTGAACAGCGCGGCCCCAGCCAGCAACAGCGGGGCAGGGGAGCTGCCCTCGCCAGCACCTACCC